TGATCAATCATCGTAACGCATAAAATGTAGCTGGTGAAATGTGTTCTAACACATGTGTGATCTAAGATATTTCACGCTGGTAAACATTTATTTGTCAAGCTCATAAATATTCAAAGAAATTGTGTCATCGAATTATGCTAATAAATTGAATTTATGTGAGTTCGATATGGAACAACTTAGTAATTACGGTCACATGTGTTCCGGTAAAAGTGGCCCATCGTTTTAATTGCAAAAGACAGACGTAAACAGAAATTCTGATCCAACGAAAAAGAAGATTACATTTCCGGCTTTTGAAGTTCTTTTGCCAGACTTCCGCAGTCCTCGTCCAAAGACAAATAAACCGTCCCATCTAAAAGACGATTTTCTCTTTGCCCGCTAAAGAGTTCAATATAGTGATTCCTTTCTGTTTCCCGTTTTGAGTCTAGTTCCCTTTGTGACTATTCGGCGTTAAATTTGATCAAAGCTCCACTGCTGGAGAAGCTTTTTCCGTTTAAACTCTGCTCTCAACCGTGTTACCGTTTATTATAATTCTATTAATGATAGAGCCATTAGACTTTGCGGAACCCGAGGCAAACTTACCAAATTGACAAACCCTGAAAATTCGCTCGATTCTTGATTAAAAATAAATACTTCTGTAAATTTAAAGTCAGCAGAAAAAATGTAAAGTGGGAAAAATTACAAAGGCAGGGTCCTTTGAATGCTTCTGGTATTTCCTTTTTGGAACGCTTTTCACGGACGACGAGCAGCATAGAAAGATTAATATCGCGGACGACAATGGAAGGAAATGCGGTTGCTTATAAGGAGTTTCCTGTAAGATTGCATTTCCTCTTAGACTGATAGAGATCGTACGACTAATAATTTAAACGTTTTTTAAAGCTTGCTTCGTGATCTTTTTATTACAGTAATTTCTCAAAGAAGAATTTATTCTACAAATAATTATTAATTCTACATTTACATTCATTTTTTAGTTATTCTGCGCTATATCTTCGAGTAATATCGATTTAAAGATACCCCTGAGGATATTGGTTTTGCTGAGTTAATAGAAGATACATGATAGGTTTGTTTGCCCTGTCGGTGTTCATTTTTCGCGCACAATCGATGAACCCACCTTTCGTCGTCAGGGCGACTCGAATTCTGTAAATGACAGGTAAAAGGCTACCCTTACGTCGCAATAAAGAAAGCAATATTTGCTGGTGGGCAGAAAGGTCGACGACTAAAATAGACCTAACACGCGTAAGTTGGAGTCGTTCATGAAAGGTTGAGTCCTTTAAACCTTTGATGAGAGAAACTGTTATTTACGAAGGAATGTATTTTTGTCCGTCGTAAATCTTGTTCATTTTCTAATATTTTCAATACAAGTTTATTTAACAAGGTAGCTCGTGTTCAGGTAGTTGAAATTTTATGTCAATGTATTAATAATTGGACTGAAGCGTGTGAAGCCTTGAATGCATTTTGGTAAAAGATGAAAGTAGATATACTAAAATTATAACTACGTACTTCAACAACATCGTACAGGGTGTCTCACTGTGAGAAACAAAAACTTGTATAAATTATATACTATGTTCATTTTCAACCATATTGGAGGCAACAATTTTACAACGCTTCAACTTCGAACTTCTTATTAAAAAATCATTCTTGTAATTAATTATTGAGATCCATTATAGCTTCCATTTTACCTTGCACATTATTCAAGAGACTACTTCAAATTAAGCCTCTTACATTTTCTCTTTTAAATTTCGAGCATCGAAGGTCTGATATGCAGATTGTTGCAAAGTGTAAGCGAAACCCGGGGGTCCGAAGGGTTCCCCGTTCCAAATGTTGCAGAAGGGTACCGTCTATAGGTGTATTATCCCCTTTCTCGCTGCCGGCATTCAGCCGTGAGTCATCCCCTCGGCTTCACCCCCGACTGTGACGTCATTTCGACGATCCCCACCCCTGAAACACCCATCGAAACCGTGTCATTCGTTCGGTTATTATGTAAGGGAGGGAATCGCGAGGTTCTTCGTTGGATTTCGCGTCGATCCGAGCCCGATAATCTTCCTCGTTGAATTCAACTGGGTGCGGAGGCTTTGCTGGTATTTCGATAACACGCTCTGAAACGGAGAAAAGGAAAAATGGAGAATGAGAAGTCTGCAGACGACCAGTCGACGGATCGTTAAAAACGTTTCGCATCCTGCCGTGCTCTTCTCTCGTTTTTTACCGATCGCTAAATATCCATGCTTCTTAGTTATTATCTTCGGCTCCTACAGGATCGTGCAAATGGGGTGCACTCTTTGGTTTTTGCATTTATTTTGGCGCGTCAGTCTGAACAGCTGCAATAATTAAATAGACAAAAAAAGTCATTTTGATATCAATTTTTGACTACGTAAATGCACTTGAATTTCAAATTGAAATGTATTAAAAGTTCGAGCAAAATTGATCATAGTTGAAGTGCGTTTATTCAGGCGTGTCAGTCAGAACTAACTAATCATAGCTGCAGTAATAAAATAGACAAAGGAAGTTGAAATGTTATGTCACTTTAGTATCAATCTTTCACTATGCAGATCATTGGACTTGAACTTTAAATTAAAATATATTAAAAGTTCGAGCAAAATTGATCATAGCTGAAGTCTGAGTATAAATGAAGCTGAAGTGCGTTTATTTAGGTGTGTCAGTCAGAACTAACTAATCATAGCTGCAGTAATAAAATAGACAAAGGAAGTTGAAATGTTATGTCACTTTAGTATCAATCTTTCACTATGCAGATCATTGGACTTGAACTTTAAATTAAAATATATTAAAAGTTCGAGCAAAATTGATCATAGCTGAAGTCTGAGTATAAATGAAGCTGAAGTGCGTTTATTTAGGTGTGTCAGTCAGAACTAACTAATCATAGCTGCAGTAATAAAATAGACAAAGGAAGTTGAAATGTTATGTCACTTTAGTATCAATCTTTCACTATGCAGATCATTGGACTTGAACTTTAAATTAAAATATATTAAAAGTTCGAGCAAAATTGATCATAGCTGAAGTCTGAGTATAAATGAAGCTGAAGTGCGTTTATTTAGGTGTGTCAGTCAGAACTAACTAATCATAGCTGCAGTAATAAAATAGACAAAGGAAGTTGAAATGTTATGTCACTTTAGTATCAATCTTTCACTATGCAGATCATTGGACTTGAACTTTAAATTAAAATATATTAAAAGTTCGAGCAAAATTGATCATAGCTGAAGTCTGAGTATAAATGAAGCTGAAGTGCGTTTATTTAGGTGTGTCAGTCAGAACTAACTAATCATAGCTGCAGTAATAAAATAGACAAAGGAAGTTGAAATGTTATGTCACTTTAGTATCAATCTTTCACTATGCAGATGATTGGACTTGAACTTTAAATTGAAATATATTAAAAGTTCGAGTAAAATTGATCATAGTTGAAGTCTGAGTATAAATGAACTCTTTCGCGTCACTTCAGACTCTTCAAAACAGTACAAGAATTTAAAACAAACAGGAAAATTAAAATATGTTAACGTTATGTTCAGTGATCTTAAGTATGCACATAACTGAACTTCAAATTAAAAATTCGTACTCGAATTGAAAATTCAAAATTCACAAAAATTGATCTACCAGTAAATTCACATGTAAAGTACAAGTGCTTCAGCCTCAAAATATTTCAAGGGGTGAATATTTAAAATTGTCAAATTTTTTAATTTAAAATTATGAAGCTTGCAAATTTATAAATAGTATCGCCATAAAAATCTGTGGAACATGAAAGTTATAAAATGTACTGTTTACACAGGTCGATGTGTGTCACAGGAAGGCAGAAAAGAAAAAGTGTATTAAAAAATACCGTCACGCATTTACGCGGGAGTTTTTCACACAGTGACGCGAAAGGCGGTGTGCAGTCCCATTGGGAATGCATGTCGCATTATCATTCAAGGCGGTTCACGAGGTTGAAGGAAAGAAGAAATAATACCGTCGACATGGTTTCTTTCAGCCAGGCTAAACACTTTTTCTTTTTTCACCACCTTTTTCTCTCTCGCTCCGAGATCAATCGTTTGTATTAATAGGCGAACGATGAATACGCGAACGATTTAACGAGTCTGCTGGTTCTGTACTTCCTTGACTCAGTAATTTCAATTGCATCCACCGTAGACGTATACAGGATCCATATTGGTGGCTGTGAATCCCTACAAAGAAGTGGACTTCTACACGAACGTAAGTAAATTGGAATCATTGTGAAATTATCTTTAATAGCGCTACTTAAGATGAATACGATTGTTTTTCTTCGTGTGCCTACGCGAACAATTATTCGCGGTTGAATGGGAATTTCGTTCATTATGCGATCGGGAATAATTGGAGTGATTGAGAAAACGAATCAATAGGGCTGAATTATGAACATTGTGGTATATAGGCTGTCTCACAACTAGTGTAACTCATTTCTAGTTGTGAGACACCCTGTGGATAACAGGGTTCAATTTCGTAATTTATTACGTTTAACATTATCAAACTGTATAGTAATAATTAATAAGTAATCAATTATACAATCGATCATTTTGCGGATATTCCAGTTTGAAATATTAAGAACTTATTCCACTTTCTCCGAATTATTATTTCTCCACTCGAAGTCTAATTTTAATTAAAATTTCGAACGCAGTTCGCCGTCACATCTGGGTTAAGGGTTATAAACAAACAAGTTTCGTTGCCAATTATTTTGAAAGGTTATTTGTTAAATTAAAACGTACACGCTGTCACAGTTAACGCACAATTACTTGCGCACTTCCTGCGGTAAATACTAGCCGGAAGTACCTTGGAAGAATAACAAATATTAAGCGTCGGCTCTCAAAGAAAAGCTGCACGTGCCGATCCCCTCTCCGATAGAAGTAATAATTGACTCTCTCGTACATAATTAAACTTACAGATACTATCAAAGTTTCGTTATTAAGTCGAGAGAACTTTTTCGAAGCGCAATCGATTGAATAGTTTCAACATTTTCGAAGATATAGTATTAGAAAAATGCACAAGAATATTGTCCAATAAGAACGTTTTTATTCTGTTGGTTACATCGACTCGGAACGTGCGAGGACAGGACGCCTTTATCATATTGGAATTGTTAGGCCTCGGTTTGAAAACAGGAAACGGAAGCCGCGACGTGCTTTCGCAAAGATATCGCAAAATGAACGATCAACTCGATGGGTTTTCTGGGTCACAGTACGCTGTTACTGTCATAGCAATCGGTACATAATCGATTTCCATACGTGAACCATAATTTAAGTACAATTATGTCTTACATTAATTAGATAATTACATTACTCGAATAATTGAATTCCGCATCTAACTGAATTTTGCTTAATTCGATAAAATTAACTGAATATGAAATAAGAAATTCTTGTAAATTTGAATCAAGCTTAATTGAGCTTTCTCAATGGTAGTTCTAACGAGGTACTTATAACCGCTACTTATATGGACTCATATCAGGGGTGTCTGAATTGGGATGCTGTGTTGGGACTTATTTCTGGCTCGAGTGGCAGTCACTTCTTTTTTTAGACTCCAACCGATCCCAGAATATTCGAGTAATAGATTTGAATGAAAATCGCTTTGATGTGTCCGCCTTCTGCTGCGATCCTCTTTACATATCTACGCTTTACATGCCAAACCGAGCTTTTACACAGATTTCCGCTCTGAAGCTGCCTCTTCGTATGATACTTCTAATGGGGCTGAATATCCAACGATAGTCCTTAACACCATGAATCTTCCTCAAAAGTATTTCAGTTTAATTAAACTTAATGTTATGAAATTAATAAAAACTTTAGTAATGAAATATTGCTAAGTCTTTACTTGTTTACATATTGTTCTTTTATGGCTGCAATATTGCTACCCGTGATATTCGCGTTATATCGCTGCATTACGTATTTTATCATCACAAGTACTTGTCTATTCTATAGCTTAGTGCTGTATCATCACGCATTGTGTTACTCGCGTGTTGTTATAAAGCCTTGCCTCATATCACCGCGTTGTACAGTCCCGTTACGTTATCATAAGAAAATTGTCTCGCATTATATCGCCGTGTTATCGAGTACAATAGAGCCTATTTGAAGTAGAGAGTATCTGCACCTGAAAGTCAACAAAAGTTTAGTAATATAATCGAAAGGATTACGGCGATAAATGGATCAATTTCGAAGGTCAGCCGGGGTACCAACGGTAGGACCCCTGGCCGGCGAGAAGGAAAAGGGTGGCCTCGGTGTGGTGCACGCCCCGTGTTATTGATCGGGCTCGAGCGCACATCGGATTCGGAGACTCGTGGTGGTTGCCCTGGAGCCTTCGTAGAGCCTCGTCCTTTCGTCTCGATCCACAGCCAACTATTCATCGATTTCGTGTACGGACTTAATCATTCGGAATCGTTCGTGCAAATAAATCGAATGAACCATTTAGCCAGCAAGTTGAAAGCACTGGTAACGATGTAATCGACGAAAGAATAGCAGACTCGTTAATTAATCCCGCGAAAAAACATAGTTGCCGGGTCAAAGAACGAGGCTGCCGTTTATCAGGCGTGTTTCTGCGGAAACAAAAGCAACTGGAGCATCTCGATATTCCCCGGTGCCGCTTCTTCGTATGCGTCGCACCACGCCAATAGCCACGGGACGGGAACATTTTTATCTCGCCGTTGTGCATTCCGTATCGCTCGACTTTCCATGCTCTTTTCTTCTCCACGTCGATCGATCCGAGTGTGTTTCGAAGTAATCAACCGCGACAACCTGTGTACACTCGGATGCAACGGAGCTTTCCTCTGGCAAAGAGCAAGCATGAGGAAAGGTGCCACGTACTGTTTTCCTTAGGTTTTTTGAAACATCTGCAAAGAGCCCAGATAAAGTTCAGGACAAGTTTAAGGAGATTTTGGAGTATTTTCTACAGTTTTAGATTTTGTACATCTTCATTTCCTTACGTCATTCCAGGTATACTAGTTGCGTCATCATAAGTTTACCTTTGTCACAAACCGTGACCTGCTGCGTTTGTATTTTGTCCACGAACTGCCATTTTACCCGGTTACGTATAGTCTGAGGCTTTTTGTTCGTTCCAGAAAAACCTGCCCCTCTTTCTGGAGTCTCATTCTCTCGTAGAAGAATAGACGTCGGTCACGTGAACACCGACCGATGATTCGTTAGGTTTCCATGCAAATAAGAGGCTGGGCTCGTTCTTCCGTTGCCGAGGAATCCAACGCGATTCAACACTGCCCCTGTAACGTATTATGTTAGGATTATATCCTGGTGGTAGTAAGTTACGAGCAAGAATCACTCTTTATAATTGCTGCGATTAAAAACTCGTCGCTATGCCAACATTACTCGCAACGTAAATCCTTTCTACTTATCCTCTCATTACCATAAAATAAGATAATCAGCAAAGCATCTATTCGTCTAAACCTGATATAAAAATCTAAGTTAATCTCAGAATCTAAGGTAACCTCATAAAATCGAAGTTATTTACGGTATCATCGGCTTCTTCAGTGGAATCCCTAAGTTCTAGCCATCGATCACCGATTGGCTTCAACGGGTCGCTATTAAACCTTGCTGACCACTCTAGTCAAAGATTAACGACCCACTAAAGGAACGATCCGTATAAAATGGTCCTGTTTGAACCCTCGTCGCGGTACCACCTCGTTTCTGTACATCTTTGCACGTCGTCGGCCAATGACTCCGAAGAAGAGAAGA